AAATTCACTTTTCATACAGCAGTTCACATATACTTTGTCTCATGTCATTGACTACAGTTTACCACAATGCAACAGTTCTCCTCCCACTTCCTCCCCATATTTACCTCTTCCCAGTGTCCATCCCTCCATACTCTCCTGCCCCCTGAGCTGTCTCCCTGTGCATAAGCAGCCCTTACTTCTCCCATGATTGTTCTCTCCAAGACATGTATCAAGGCATGAGGTAAATGTTTAACTCACATGCCTGTATTTTGTTTGGCTGGAAACCACAGATGTGGGTTCAATTCCAGACCTGAAGGGCAGCTAGGGGCCATAGTCTCAGTGGTTTCACCAGGCTCTATCGGACCAGCAAACCTGGTTCCCACCTTTTTTTTTTTTTTTCCTCCAAATGATTTTGAGTTTTGTTCCACATTGTTCTCCCTCTCTATCAAGGGTCTCCTACATAGAGATCTTCTGTATCTTTGTTGATTTTTTTTCCCTAGTTGTTCTGTCCTTCATTGATAGTGTGTGTTAAAGTCCCCTACTACTATTATAAAATTGTCTATTTTTCCTTTTGATCCAGTTAATGTTTGCTTTATGTATTTTAGAGCTCTTTCATTGGGTGAAAGAATAATTCTTACACAATGTATACACTTATTATGGTAATGTTCTCTTTCTCAATTGACCTTTTTAACAGGATATAGTGCCCTTCTTTGTCTCTTGTGCTGGTTTTCACCTTGAAGTCTGTTTTATCAGAAATTAATATTTTCACACCTGGTATTTTTTGGTTGCCATTAGCTTAGTATATTTTTTTCCATCCCTTGGTTTTTAATTTGTTTTTACCTTTGTTTCTAAGGTGGGTCTATTGTAGGCAACATACTGATAGGTCTTCTTTTCTTACCCAATCTGCCACTCTCTCTTGACTGGTGCATTTAGTCCATTTACATTGAGTGTAATTAGTGATAGGTATGAATTTATTGCTGTCATTCTGGTGTGTTTTTTGTTGTGTTGTTGGTGATTTCTTTGTTCCAAGTATTTCTCTGTGCTGAGTTCATTTTGTTATCAAATGATTTTTCTCTTTTCTTCATTATTGTTGGTTTTGTGTTTACTAAGCCCTTTTGATTTTTTTCTTTCTTAATTTGGTTAGAAGGATTGTTTAGTTTCATTGTGATTACCCTGAAGTAAACTCTTATCTCCCTAAGTTTGGAACAATCTGTTCTATATAGACATTATCCTGACTTCCTCTCCATTTGGAAGTTTTGTAATTATAACATTTATTCCTTCTATTTGCTTTGCTGTTAGTGTCATTTACAGATTGACTCCTGTTTCTTTGTTTACATTTTTTGTGAGCTGATTTTGAGATTTGTTTTCTGGGTTGGTTTCTGGGTGGTTGTGTCAAGTGTCTTGGTTTTAATTTGTTTTTCTCTGTTATGGGTTTTTTATTGGAAGGGCTCTCTTTAGCATTTCTTGTAGGGTTGGTCTGTTTTTCACAAATTCTCTTAATTTCTGTTTGTCTGTGAATGTCTTAATTTCACCCTGATATTTGAGGGAGAGTTTGGCTGGATATATAATTCTCACTTGGCAGTTCTTTTCCCTCAAGGTTTTTTATGTGCCAGCCCATTGCCTTCTTGCCTGCATTGTTTCTGCTGCGAAATCAGAGTTTAGTCTCATTGGTTGCCCATTGTAGGTAACATTTCATTTTTTCTGAGCTGCTCTCAAGATTCTTTCTTTGTCTTTGGTTTTGGGAAGTTTGATTATGATATGTTTTGGTGACTTTCTCTTGGAGTCTATCCTCTGTGGGGTTTGTTGAGTTTCTTGGATGGATATCTTTCTCCTTACATAATATAGGGGAAGTCTGTTAGTAAGTCTTTGACAATTTTCTCAGTATTTTTTATTTATTTGTATTTTTGCTTCCTCTTGTTCTGGAATTCTGATCAGGCATATGTTATTTCTTTTCACATCGTCCCATATAACTCTTAGATTTTCTTCATTTCTATTAATTTTTGTTCTAATTTTTCCTGATACAAGCTGGCATCAAGGGATTTATCTTCTAGCTGGGAAATGTGTTCTTCAGTCAGTTTGAGTGTACTCTTTTGTTCTTCCAATATGCTATCTATCTCTGTAACTTTAGTGTTCAGCTTCTAGATTTCTAATTGGGTTTTTGTATGATTTCTAATCGTGTATTTATTTTGTCATTTTGCTCTTGAATGATTTTCCTGAATTCTTCAAGGGTATAGCCTGTCTTCTCCTTGCTTGTGTTTATGGATTCCATGAGCTCTTGGAAGGTCCTATATACATATCTTATGAATTCCTTATCACATAGCTCTATTACTTGTTCTTCCTCAGAAAGATTTCCCAATTCTTTAGTTTGGACACTTGTTTCTACTATCTTGTCCTGTTTTTTGTTTGATTTGAAGTTGTCTGTTGTTTCTTAGACATTTTGAAGTTTTTGTCTTTATTTAGGAGATCTGGTTTAAGTATAGTGCTTAAGGCATCTGACTGCTAACCAGAAGGCTGGTGGTTCAAACCAGCCAGCCTTCAGAAGGAAGGTTGGGTAATCTACTTCCGTAGTGACACCGCCTTGAAAACCCAAGAAGGGGTCACTATGAGTCAGATCCAACTTGATGGCAGTGAGTTTTTTTTTTTTTTTGGTGTCTTTATTTGTTGGTTATGTGCTGGTTTGTTTCACCCTGGTGTTATGTTTTACTTTGTTTTTATATATCTGAAAGTGTGGAGCAGGTTGGTTGTGTGGCTGTACTGGGTCACTCTTCAGCTTTCTCTGTGTTGGGGGAGTAACTACTGGGGATGTGAGTTCAGGTCTCTGTTTGCTGTGATGAGGAGTTGCAGTTGGGATGACTAGGTGTTGTCCACTGTCTGTCATTGATCCTATGGTCTGCAGGAGCTATTGGTGACTTGCCTGTTGAGTGAGGTGGTTGGTGTGGTAGATATCATTGACTAGTGGAGAGTTAATGTGTTCTTCCCTTTGGATGACACAGGAAAAACAAAGAAAACCAAGGAGAATAGGGAGAAATGAAAAGATAGAATAAAAATAGATGCTAAGCAATATGGAAAAAGGACAAAGAATATAAGAAAAAGAGAGAAAAACAAAAGTAGGGTGGTGAGAGGGATGAAGGTTTGGTAAAAATGAAAGAAGCTGAAGAGGTAGAGGGGTAATTGATCAGATAACCAACCAAACACACTGCTATCAAGTCAGATCCAACTCATAGCAACCCTTCCATGCGTTTCCAAGGCAGTATCATTATGGAAGTAGATTGCCCAACCTTCCTTCTGGGGAGTAGCTGGTGGGTTTGAACTGCCAGTCTTCTGGTTAGCAGTCAAATGCCTTAGGCACTACACCACCATCCTAAATGATCAGATAGAAAGGAAGAAATATTTGAGAAGAAGAAAGTAGAAACATGAAGGGAGGATAAGGTGATTGAGGAGGGATTTTTCTAGTTATGTTCAGCCAACAGCCTTGGGAGCTGGCTGCTGTGGCAGAATCTGCTCATACCTGCATAGAAGAAAGATTGGCATGAGAAGTGACCTCCAGGAGAGAATGCTAAAGCTTGTTTTTTGTGCTTAGTGTGAAATAGATCAGCCAGTGATGCAGACATGGGAGCAGGACAGCTGCAGCCCCTGGGTCTGTTTGGAGCAGTTTGCTGTTGGTGCCATTTGGCTGTCCATCAAAACCCTGCAGTACACACCCTCTAGTTGCCCCACAGGAGAAAGGACAGCCCTCCTCTGCAAGGATCCACAAGTCCCAAAACCCCAGACCTCAGTTCCACTTTCTGCTAAAAAGAGTTGCTAAGAGTTGGACTTGAGCCCAATGCTGTGGGTCTGATTTGGGGTTGGTTTATTTGGGGAGTTTTTCTGCCCTTTCCCTTACTCCCTTCTGGACTTTGTGGACGCTTAAGCTGCACAGCATTAGATCACCTTGAAATCTTTCTGATCTGTCTATTCTGTGTCTTTAACACTTGTGGGTTCCTGAAGTTCTTTTTTTTTTTCCTCCTGACACCCTTTGTATTTCTAATGTCTTCGCTTTGGCGTGGGAGCTCTGATGGTGTAGTGCCTAAGGCATTTGACAGCTAACCGAAAGGCTGGCAGTTCAAACCACCAGCCACTCCTGGGAAGGAGGATTAGGCTTTTTTTTTGTTTGTTTGTTTCTCTTTGGCTTGGCCGGTTGACTGGCTTTTTTTCCCTCCAGTTACTGAACTTGCTCCCTTTGCTCGATCTAATACTTTATCTTCTCATTAGATGCTAGTAATTCCAGGATCATTATTTGTAGCTGTTCCACTGAGTTTCTCTAAATCTCTTGAAAGAAGGATCTGGTGCATGGTCTGTTAGTAGGATGCCATCTTCCCTGTAAATGCCCTTTTTCTGGAGTATTACTGCCAATCCCTTGCCAACTGTATTGCATAGATGAGTTACGACCCTACAAGATGAGTGACGTGGTAAGGACTTTATTAAGAAAGGTTATTAAAAGGCAGAAACAAAGATAGTGGTTTTACAGATCCCTTTTAGTTAACCTGAACTCTTTAGAAATGCTCATTCTTGACCCCTTCTGTTTACTTCTTCCTTTCTCTATAGTTGAAGTTTCCTTTCATTTTCTTTAAATTTTCACCATCCTTAATGCCTAGCACAAGTCCTACCTCCATGATGCCTTTTTTTCTTTTCTAGCCCATCCTGTACTCTCCCATCTTTGAATTTCTCCATTATGAATTTTCAGTCACTTTCTTGAACACTGCTTAATGCTTTCAAGTTGATTCACAAATCCTTTCTCCGGGGAAGTCATATGTGTCTGAGGGCCATGATGTGTTTTGTGTGTCACTTGTGCTCCCCACAGGGTTCCTCACAAAGCCAGGGACACAGTCATGTCCAGGAGAACTGGATGTGGAGAACTGTGTTCTCTGAAGAGAACAAGATGAACTTCTTCAGATCCAGGCTCTTCACGGCCTCCAGTTAAACTCCTCTCATTGGGGAAATTGATGGTGATTTGCTGTGCATTGATTCATTGCTTGTTCTAGGAACCAGTTACATTCGAGGATATCACTGTGGTGTCACGGAGGCAGAATGGAAGAGGCTGAGCTCTGAGCAGAAGGACCTGTACAAAGAAGTGATGCTGGAGATTTATAGGAATCTGCTGTCATTGGGTGAGGATGTGCCCTTTTCTTTCCCTTCATTAATTCAGAAGATATTTGTTGCTTACCTGCTGTGTGCCAAAGGAACCCTGGTGGCTGCTAACTTGCCTGCTAACTGAAGGTCATTGGTTCATATCTAGCAGCCTCTCTGTGGGAGAAAGATAAGACAGTCTGCTTCTGTAAAGATTTATATCTTTGGAAGCCCCATTAAGGTAGTTCTACTCAGTCCTGTAGGGTTTCTATGATTCAAAATCAACAGTGATTTTTTTTCCCCCTAAGTGTGAAAGACTTATTGGCAGTGCAAATAGTTTATGCTCAACTATTAATATAAAAGTTAGTGGTTTGTACTAATCCAGTGATACTGCAGAAGAAATGCCTGGTGATGTGCTTATTGAAAGATTATAGCTAATAAAACACTATGAACTAAATAAGGTAAAATAAGTAAATAAACAAAACCAATCAGTAAGTGCTATGAAACAGTTGTACTCTGTAACACATGGAGTGGATGTAATTTGGAATCAAGTTCATGGCAATGAGTTTGTTTTTCCTGTGTTGCCATATATGTTGTAGATATTTGGAACACATTAGTACATGTAATGGAAATCAATAGAAATCTCTGCCCTCACTGGGCTTATCTTTGAGTATAAGGAAATAGACAAGAAACAGTAAACTTTATATACATAGATATTTGAGTTTGGTATGCTAAAATGTGACAAGCGTTTCAAGTGAAAAACTTGTAATAAAATAGAGCAGGAGAAAGGGTATTGGGTAGATAGGCTGGTTGGGTAAATTTTGAAATTGGGTGTTTGAAATCAGCCAGGAGGTAGCATTTGACCAAAGACATAGGTGGTGAGGGAGTGAGAACTCTAGGTACCTTGAGTAAGAGCATTTCAGATGCAAGGAGCTGTCTTTGCTGCTAAGAGCTTATGGAAGTGATATGCCTGACAAGTGGGAGGAATTGTACAAAGGCCAATGATGTTGGGGGCACAGTTTGCAAAGGGGGAAGTACTAAGAGATGCCTTCTGCAACAAAAATTACAATTAAATAGCAATTTTTAAATAGGTATTTGTGTTAGGCTGGGTTTCTCTAGAGAAGCAAAACCAGTAAAGCTTATATATATCGAGAGAGAGAGAAATTTATCTTAGGAAAAGGGCTCACTTCTACACTTGTAGAAGCTGGCAAGTCCCAAGTTCTTGGATCAAATGTTAAGCTGGAGGTTTTTCCCGACTCACACAGCTGCAGGGTCTGAGGAGCTCAAGGTTGGCAGGCAGTATAGCAGCTGTTGACTCCAATGAATGACAAATCCAAGATCTCCAGGCTGAATGGTGGATTGTTCACTCATGGACAGTTGTAGGTAGCACAGCAGGATCCCGATCCACAGAAGAGTGTCTTATTTTCCCAGTATGTCCATAAATATATTGGAAACAGGCCACACCCCTAGGGAAACTCCCTTTCAATGGATTGGCTGCTCAAAACATATACATCTGATCCCATCATGGGAATAATAACACACATGAAAACTGCTTAAACCACACAGTATTGTGGTCCAGCCAAGTTGACACACAACTCCAACTCACGGTATAGGATTTCATAAACCATATATTTTCTTTTTCCATTTGATGAAAATATTTACAATGATTCTTAAATCTGCGTTGATAAATAGCATCCATTGGAAAATTATTCAAGATCAGGGGTTGGCCAACTTTTCTGTAAAGGGCCTAATGGTAACTATTTTAAAGTTTTGTGATCATATAGTCTCTGCTATACCTCTCAATTCTCCTGTTAAAGTGCAAAAACTGTCCTAAATAACATGTAAACAAATGGGTGTGGCTGTTCCCATAAAAGTGTATTTATGGACACTGAAATTTGAATTTCATATAATTTTCAATATTACGATATATGATTCTTTTGGCTTTTTCCTAACAATTAAAAATACAAAAAATATTCTTAGGTTCTTTGCTGTGTAAAAATAGGCAGAGGGTTGGATTAGGCCACTTGAACATCATTTTCCCATTCTTCTAGATCAACACTGCCCAGTAGAAATAAAATGTTAGCTTTGTTTGTAATTTATAGTTTCTTAGTAGTTATGTTAAAAAAGTAAAACTAAATAGGTGAAATTAATTTTAATAATGTATTTTATTTAATCCAATAAGCCACAATATTACCATATCAACATGTCATCAATGTAAAAAGTATTCATTAGATATTTTGCAACTTTTTTTTAATGAAGTCTTTAAAATCTGATTGCATTTTATACTAACACACATCTTAGTTCCGACTAGCCACATTTCAAGTGCTCACTAAACATATTAGTAGAGTGGCTATCGTATTAGTTACTGCATTTCTAGATATGCCTGTATTTTTAGAGAAGCAATGTATAGAAAAAGCACATTTTTGGAGACACAACCCTATTCCAGGTAGTTCCCTGATGCGGATTTTCATTATTCCATTTTCATCTTCTTTGACATGTTCTTATCTGATTTTATCTGGCTTGAACTAGCCCCATCATGATCTGATTCCATCATATTCAATACAGGCGATACCTATTTTATTACGTTTTCCAGTTACGATGAACTGCACTTATGACCATCCTTTTTGTCTTTTTTGCGGGTGATGGTGGTATATTTATTATTGGTAATATTTAATACATACAGTGTTGCAGCACATAATTTTCAGATGTTATCATTATCATGCCAACTCCTAAAGGCAAAGATTGGATTTATACAGATATTGATAATACAAGGCAATATTCACAAAACTAAAACAAACAAGAAGGTAGTTGACTTACATCAGAACTGATTTATGACACAAGTATTGGAATGGAACCCTGTCATAAGTCTGGAACTGCCTGTATGTATTTATCCATTTCAGTCTAGTTTTGTGTGTTTTGATTTGGCCATATCTAATTAATTAGATTTGGGTTTTATTTTTATTTTTCTCTGGCCATAGTATTCTCTTTAACTGGTTCAGAAGGAAATACTAAAATTACCTGGTTCAAATTAATCTTGATATTGAAAGCTTGGATCCCTGGATCCCATTGCATTTCTTGAAATGTTTCCTTTTTCTTACTCAACACCACAGTATTCGGAGATCTCAATTGTTGTTGTTGTTAGGTGCCGTCGAGTCATGTATGCCAATGGATTCGGAGATCTCTAGTCTTCTTATATCTCTCTTTGGGATTTTTCTGTTTCTTTCCCTTTTCTTCATAGTATAGTGGTCCATAGGACTTAGTGTCATATACTGTATTTTACACATATAATACACACATTACATGGTTTTTAGACAACTGCACAACCCCCTCACACTCTCTGTGCATGAAAACGTTATATATGAAAATATGGTGTTCTTTTTCTGTCTATATTCACATCCTTAAACAACTTAAGAACTTTAATGATTTTGACCATCATGTATTATGATGAACCCATTTTCTGTCTGTCACTTTCATACTGTAATTCTACTAGCGTAGATATCATCAAAAGTTTGTTCTCAACCTTACCATAATTGGAGATCTTACTATTTTTCCTCCTAAACCAGTCTCTTTTTCTCTATTTCTTCATATATTCATGTTATGATGTCCTTTCTTCAAGTGCACTATTAAAAATAAAATAGGCCAGTTCTTCCTGAAATAATCTTTAAAAATTCCATAGAAGAGATGTTTAAATCAACTTAAGCTAGATAATTTTGTAACAACCAACCCCAATAATGTAATGGCTTATGACAACAAATGATCATTTCCCACTTATACTGCCACATGACTACAGTTCAGATATGACTCAGCTCTTTGATTTTGGGACCCAGGTAAAAGGAGCAGCCTCTGTCTTGGTTGTGGGGTTCTCAAGGCAGAGAGGCAAAAAGAGCAATGATGGAACCACACTGTGGATTTACAGACTTGACTAAAAGTAGCACTAAATTCCACTGACCTTCATCGGCCAAAGCAAATCACGTAGCCACATCTAATGTCATTATGATGGGAAAGATAGTTCTTCTGCAGTGATGGTCTCAGTGAGCAGGAGCAGCAAATATTCTGACCACAATATAATTTACCACAAGAGGGGAATCTTGAGCTGAATCTTACTTGCTGCTAAGTGCTGCTAACTGTAAGATTGGAGGTTCAGGTCCATCTAGTGGTACCTTGCAGAAAAGTCCTGAAAGTCTATGAAAAATCAGCCATTGAAAACCCTACTCTGACACACATGGGATTGCCATGAGTCAGAATCGACTTGATGGCAACTGTTTAGTTCTTTTGCTTTAATGGGGACAAGGGAGACAGACATAGGCACCCTCATGGCACAATGGTTAAGCACTCAACTGTAAACTGAAAGGTCAGTGATTTGAACCCATCAGGTGTTCCACAGGAGGAAGATGTGGCATTTTGCTTCCATAGAGATATACGGCCTTGGAAACTGTATCCTGCAGGGTTGCTGTGTGTCAGAATTGACTCAACAGCAGTGGGTTTTCAGGTTGACTTAACAGTTATAAGCATATTACCCATTTGCTTCATCCTTCCTTTGATTTCTTTACTGCTGAGTTATTTCACAGCTAATCCCAAATATTATATTTAGTAATTAATAAATATATTACCTTTCTCTAAAAATTAAATAAGAATTCTTACATAACTACAATACCACTATCCCATCATAGCTTAATAGCATCTAATACCAATTCGGTGTTACTAATTCTTTGCATATTCTCAAAAAGTATTAGAATTAGGTTATCAGTTATCCATGAGTTAATTTAGAAATTGAACACAATTTCAAACAAGCTATTTTATGAAGTTCACATGGTAAAAAATGTCTAGGAGAAAACTGAAAAGAAAAATGTAAAACAGTGTTAGCTTTATGAGACATTAAAATATGCTCTGAAACCTTTAGGGTTTACTGTGTGTGTTAGGCTGGGTTCTCTAGAGAAGCAAAACCAGTAAAACTTATATAGAGAGCGAGAAAGAGAAATTTATCTTAGGAAAAGGGCTCACACACTTATAGAATCTGGCAAGTCCCAAGTTCTTGGACCAA